GTTTTTTTTATCATGTTTTTATTATGTTCTTTTATATTCGCTGTTGGGTTTTAACTTGTGTGGTCAATGATTGTTTTTAGTAATGTTTATTTGTTTAGCATGTCTGCTGATGCTTATTGTAAGGCGACCTTGAGTGTCTAGAAAGGCGCCATTTACCAATAAAATGAATTATTATTATTATTATTAGTGCATGTGTTTGGACTGTGGGGGGAACCGGAGCATCCGGAAGAAACCCATACCAACACAGCGAGAACATTCAAATGTTGTATGAATTAATACTCATTGATCGTATCTCTCTGAATTCAGGATTTATTTTAAATCCGTGAATCCTAAAATGGCCTTAGTGACTGTCTGAACTGACAGCATTGTGTGTGACGGCTCTGCTACTCGTCTCTAATCAGGGACTCTTTCGCTTTGATAAATTCTCTTTCTGCTTCCCATCAGCCAACAACAGGTTCGACTCCCTCTGGTTCTCTTTGTGTTTTCATTTATGTAACTGTCACAGAAAAAAAACCTTCACAATCAATACTTTACCCCCTCCGGAAACTTCTAAAAGACCCTGAGAAACAATCATACGACGTGTGGAGGCTCCTCAGACTGAAGCGAGGGCCTGCGGGGGTCCAGAGCACCTGCCAGTCAGCACACATCACCTGCTCAATACATCAGTGTCTCGCTGAATTTCTGCCTCCCTTTCTCAAGTTTTCACGACTCAGGAAGTTTCCTCGGGTCAGACGCTCTCAGGTGTGTGTGTGTGTATGCAAAAATGCTGTTCCTGATTTGCTGAGGGGTGAGAAGAACAGAAAATAAAATATCAAACGAGTCTTCAGAAACAACTCTGGGATTCCCTCTTCATACAGAGGAAATGATTGTGTTAACAGAAAGACCCCACAGCGTCTGTGCTGCAGGCAAGAATTATTGCTATGTTATGCAGCAAGCAATCCAGAACACCCAAGCAATCACCTAGCAACAATCCAAAACACCCTAGCAACCACTTAGGAACAACTTTAAAATACTCCAGCAACCACCCAGCCACAGCCTAGAACACCCGAGCAATCACCTGGCAATAATCCAGAACATCCAAGCAACCACATAGCAACAACACAGATCACCCTAGCAACCACTTAGCAACAACCCAAAACACTCAAGCAACCATCTAGCAATAACCCAGATGACCCCAGCAACAACCTAAAAATACTCCAGCAACCACATAGCTAAAACCTAGAACACCCAAGCAATCACCCAGCAACAAGCCAGAAACAATCTAGCAACATCCCAGATGACTCCAGCAAACACAAAGCCACAACCTAGAACTCCCAAGCAATCAGCAAGCAACAACCAGGAACACTCTAGAAACCACTTTGAAACCACCCAAAAACAAGCAACCCCATGGCAATAACCCAGACCTCTCTAGCAACCACTTGATAACAACTTAGAACACCTAGAACACCAAAGCAATTACCTAGCAACAACCATGATCACCCTATTAACCACTTAGCAACAACCCAGTAACTCTTCAGCTACCACCTGGCAATAACCCTGATCACCCAAGCAACCGCTTAGCAACAACCCAGAAATACTCTAGCAACCACCACAGCTTAGAACACCCAAGCAACAACCTAGCAACGATCCAAAACACCCTAGCAACCACCTAACAATAATCCAGATTAACCTAGCAACCACTAACCCTAACAACTCAGAAATACTCTGGCAACCACCTAGGCACAGCCCAGGACACCCAACCAATAACCTAGGAACAAGCAGGAATGCCCAAGCAATCACCTAGCAACAACCCAGACCACCCTAGCAACCATCCCAAAACATTCAAGTAACCACCTTGGCAACAACCATGAACATCCTAGTAACCACTTCACAACCGCCCAAAAACACCCAAGCAACCATCTAGTAATACTCTAGCAACCACAAAGGCACAGCCCGGAACAACCCATCAATCACCTAGCAACAACCAGGAACACCCAAGTAACCACCAAAAACTCAACACAAGAAGAAACCACCTAGCAACAACCAAAATCACCATATTAACCACCTAGCAAGAAACCAGAAACACTCTAGCAACCATCCAGCAACATCTCAGAATACCCTAGCAACCACTTAGCAACAACTCAGAAATACTCTAGCAACCACCCAGCCACAGCTAAGAACACCCAAGCAATCACCTAGCAACAACCCAGAACACCCAAGCAACCCCCTAGCAACACCACAGATCACCCTAGCAACCACTTAGCAACAAGCCAGAACACCCTAGCAACCACTTAGCAACAACTCAGAAATACTCTAGCAACCACCCAGCCACAGCCAAGAACACCCAAGCAATAACCTAGCAACAAGCCAGAACACCCTAGCAACCACTTAGCAACAACTCAAAAATACTCTAGCAACCACCCAGCCACAGATAAGAACACCCAAGCAATCACCTAGCAACAACCCAGAACACCCAAGCAACCCCCTAGCAACACCACAGATCACCCTAGCAACCACTTAGCAACAAGCCAGAACACCCTAGCAACCACTTAGCAACAACTCAAAAATACTCTAGCAACCACCCAGCCACAGCCAAGAACACCCAAGCAATCACCTAGCAACAACCCAGCACACCCAAGCAACCCCATAGCAACACCACAGATCACCCTAGCAACCACTTAGCAACATCCCAGAACACCCAAGCAACCACTTAGCAACAACCCAGAACACCCAAGCAACAACCTAGCAATAACCCAGAAACAATCTAGCAACCGCCTAGTAACAACCCAGATCACTCAAGCAACCATCCAGCTACGACTGCGACATGCTGCAGTGGAGACAGAATGAATATTGTGTCTGACTCCATCATGAGCTTGGAGGACTGCATCCATACATCTCTGACACGACTCAAACCACTGATTAATAAAGTCATCTGGAATGAAGAAGAAAGCGTTCAACAGGACTCCCAGAGCTCATCAAGACTCTTTGTGTTCATCTTCAATGTTTCTTCCTTCATCTTACCCCAGACATGCTCAATAATGTTCATGTCTGGTGACTGGGCTGGCCAATCCTGGAACACTCTCTGCTTTCAGGAGCTTTGATGTGGAGGCTGAAGTATGAGCAGGAGCGCTATCCTGCTGGAGAATTGTCCCTCTCCTGTGGTTTGTAATGTAATGGGCAGCACAAATGGCTGTTGATGTTGATCATCCACTCTGCAGATCTCTCCATACTGACTGAACCCCAAACCATGATTTCTCCTTCACCAATCTTGACAGATTTCTCTGAGAATCTTGGTCCATGCTGGTTCCAGTAGGTCTTCTGCAGTATTGGTGATGATCGGGATGCAGATCAACAGATGATTCAGCAGAGAAATCCACCTTCTGACACTTTTACACACGGTCAACTAGAAGACCAGTTATTATGTGTTGCTCTTATAACTGAGATCCAAGACAAGACTTTAGTCAGGTAGTGCAGGAAGCATATTCAAGACGAGGATTGAGATATTCTCTGTACTAATTAAAAGACACTAAAAAGTTAGTGATCATACTAAATTAGACTTGATTTAAAACAAAAAGCTTCTCATCAAATAAGTAAAACCCAGTAGTTAGTGACAAAATATGCAGATTTCAGATGAAAATGAATGAGTATTTTGGGACCAGAAACTATTTTGGACATAAAAACTATTGAGAATCGTGGGAAAATCCTGATAGTCACTGATAGAAAAGCTGATTATTATGACTTTGCTTTGTTTTGTTAAACTGAATCATGTGCGGTGCAGCAGTACAATACCAGCACGTCACAGTGTTGTTCTGTTCTCAAGCTGACAAGGGTCAAAGGTCACCGAAAGGTGGCTGTGTGTCCTACTGAATCAGACCGCTGTGGCTGAAAGACTTGACCTGTAAGAGACTCAGGTGTGTGTGTGTGTGTGTGTGTGTGACAGACGTCTGCGCAAATCTTCCTTCACCATCCCTGAACACATTTGATAGTCATCATAGTTTGGACTTCCAGACTACATTCAGAATCCTTCCCTCATCTCACTTAATGTCGATTATTTAGCAGCTAAAGAGACAGAAAAACAAACTCAATCATTTCCAGCAGCTCTCTGACTAATGTTAGGATGATGTTCGATTGTGTACAAACGAGAAATGCTTCATGGAAGTTCTCCATTTGTTCTCTGCTGCAGTGAAAAGGCAAAACTATTCCTGCTGAGTCAAACTTGATTGCCACTAGCATCAAGCAGTAACACACACACACACGCACACACACACACACAGGTTGGTTTTGGTAGTTTATGAGGACTCTTCAGAGACATAATGTATTTTATATAACAAGTGTTTTGTGCCATATGGCTCTATTCAATAACCCAACCATCACAGGAAACCCGGGCGATTTTATTTCATGTGAAAAGATTAAGTGTGACATGGTGGCTCAGTGGCACTGTCGCCTCACAGCAAGAAGGTTGCTGGTTCGAGTCCTGCCTGGCTCAGTTGGCATTTCTGTCTGGAGTTCTGCCTGTGTTGGCGTGGGTTTCCTCCACAGTCCAAACACATGTGCTATAGGGGAACTGGTGAACTAAATTGCCCGTTGTGTATGAGTGTGTGTGAATAAGTGTGTATGGGTGTTTCCCAGTAACGGATTGCAGCTGGAAGGCCATCCGCTGCGTAAAACATATGCTGGAATAGTTGGCGGTTCATTCCACTGTGGTGACCCTGATGAATAAATAGACTAAGCTGAATGACAATGAACGAAGACCCAGTTAATTATGATTTTAAATGGTTTTGAATTATGAGGACATGCATGTCCTCATAAACCACCTAAACATTGTAATATCTAGGTCATATCTATTCATTTTCTTTTCTTATTAATCAGCGGCCGCCACAGCGGAATGAACCGCCAACTTATCTAGCATATGTTTAGGCAGCAGATGCCCTTTCAACTGCAACCCATCACTGGGAAACACCCATACACTCTCATTTACACTCATACACTACGGACAATTTAGCTTACCCAATTGACCCAGCTGAGGCTTGAACCAGTGACCTTCTTGCTGTGAGGTGATCGTGCGTGCTACCCACTGCGCCACCGTGACACCCTGGTCATATTCATTATAAAATCTGCGTCTCCATAAACCACCGAAAACTCACACGCACACACACACACACACACTCTGCAGGGCTACACTACTGTATGATCCTGGAAGACACAAGTGAATTGTGATTTAGTTGGGACGTTTCTCAAACGCTCTCCTGTAACGTCCACTCAATGCCCGCTGATATTACTACAGTGTGGCTGAAGAACAAAAGCAAAGGAACCCTAAAGGGAACGTGGATTTTTTTGGTTTTCCTACGTTCTCCTCTCCACCTCGGAAGATCCCAAATGTTTATAGGATGAACAAACAGGTTCAATTCCTTAAATACAACCCTTAGATTACAGATCAGCAATATGCGATCCTCATTAGGGCCGACTAAAAAGCGTTTTGGATCCGGCAGAAAGTAGTTTCATATGCAGGCATGTGTGCATAGGGTCCTGCAAAAGAGTCTTTCTGTCCGTGTCGATATTAATAACCCCTTACCAATCAATTTGGCATTGATAAAAAATAAAGAAACGTCCTTTAGGTCTCTATATACGTAGCATCTCACACCCTCCTATAGACTGATTAACATATATTTAAATATATAATTCCATATAGATATATATATATATATATATTCATGGAGAATAACAAAGCAAAAACCGAAGAGAGAAATCTAGAGCTCTAAGATAACTGGTTAGTTCTTACCTTCTTAAAAAATCACAGTAATATTTAGATATTTAAACGATTAAAACACAGTGCCCATACAGAGAAAACCAAAGAAAAGGTCACACGGAGGAAGATCGCTGTTGGTGCGTTAGGAGGGTGTGAATTTGCCTCACAAATTGGAGGGGAGTTTGGATCTCAGCGGTTCTAGATCTCCATCTGAGGTGCGCGGGAGAGAAAGTGCGGGGGACGTCCCTACTGAAAGAGCCTGACCTCGAGGGCCTGGAGAAGTCTGTACGGGGCTCGACATGTGCCCTGAAACCGAGCTACAGGGTTTGGGCGTTAGTGTCGGTGATAAATACGGTGATAAATAACCAGGGGAAGACTGACCCGCTCCCTCAACGCCGAGAGACGGGTGCGAGCTGGACAGTATGTTTAAATCCTCATAAAAGCGGCCCAGAGGAGAGTCCGTCCCGGAGGAGTGGTGACCCGGGAGCTGGCCTGGACAGGAGGACTGCGGGAGGAGCAGGGACGTGTGGGAGCCAGCGGCGCTGGATGGGTCACTGTACTGGAAAGTTCTCCCTGTGACAGGACTCTGAACAGTCGGGCTGAGGGCTAAAGGCGTGTAGCTCGGCGAGGCGTTCGCTGAGCCGTACTGAGCGATCGAGGCCAGCGCTGACCTTTCCAAAGCAAGGTAACTGGAAAAAGAGGGCTGCGTCTGGGATGACGTGGAGCTCTCGGGGGCTTGGGAATGGATGGAGATTGGAGATCCGGGTGGCGGACTGTGAAACAGGGTTAACCCACTCTTCCCTCCTCCGGATGCGAACTGTAGGGAGCCCGTTTGAGGGTGTTTTGGTGGAGGATAACTGTGAGTAGGGGAATGAGTGGATAGTCCTGCTGAAAGTGCACTAGTGTTTGATGAGGCTGTAGTGAGGATGCCGGGCGGATGTGCTCCTGCTGCTTGCAGGCGTGCTGATAGAGGGGGCGTGCTCGGCTGTTTTTGTCTCGGTTGTGGATGAAGCTGCGCCGTGCTTAACGTCGGAGATGCTGATGGAGAACTGAAGCTTCTGAATGACACTGGTTGATTGGTGGTAGCACTGGGAGTGATGGTGACTGATGAGTGTTGAGTATGAAGGGATGCTAGAAGAGGAGTATCCACTCCTGAATGAAGCTTTGATGGGGAGGTGGATGGAGAGTCAGTGGTTGATCCTGTTCTTGGTGCAACCGTCTGAAATCTCTTGAGTCTGCTGGGAGGCTCGTTTCTGGATCCGAGCAGGGAAACGGGAGGTCGGAAGAGCGTGGCGGGTAGATGTGGGTGGTGTGTTAGTGCAATAGCGACCGATGTGGTGGCTGCAGCGGCTTGTAGAGGAGCCTGGATCAGTGGAGCCCAGATGACCGGAGTCGGGGACGGAGGGGCAGGCGGAGACGGACTCTGCAGCAGGTTTGCACAGTGGGCCATGTCCCGATCATGCTGCACGATCTGCTGGATGATCTCACTTTCCTGGTAGTTCAGCACTCCTGAATTCAAGTCGTGCTGGACTTTGTGCTGGAGAATTGAGTTCTTCTTTCCTGTGGGAAGACAAAGGGAAGAACTGATTTGTAGTGAGCAGAACACTTTGTGCACTTCATGGTTTTTATAGTAACTCTGTATGCAGGTTTTCATTGTTATGAAGCGGTTAACACTCATCATAATTTTAAATCCTTTAATTTTTTTAATATTTTGATTTAAAAGATAACGTATGAACATTTAAATGTATTTATGCATCATCTTTGCATCAAATTACACAAAGCGAATGAGGTGATGTGAGGTGTGTGTAATGCAGTGTGTATTGGGGGTGCAGGACAGTGAATCTGACATGATTCTCTCTTCTGGCTGCCGTTATCAGTCTCACGCTATTGTTTTCCTCCTTCTGAAAGTCTTGATAACACCATCCTGGAGTTTTTCTGCTATTATTTCAGCAATTAGGACTGCATAAATGATTTGTTGTGCTCTCCCATTCACTGCGCTCCGAGTTTTTCAACTATGAACCTTTCTGCTGTGGAGAAACAAGCAAATGTGGATCGGGTCTATTCTATTGGATATGAATGAGGTAATCATTTATTAGTGGAATTAAAATATTAAAGTAGCATGGAGTTACCATCTGATACCAATTCTGTAATGTGTAGAATTCTGTGTTCCATGCCAACTTATCCAGCATATGTTTTACACAGCGGATGCCCTTCCAGCTGCAACCCAGTACTGGGAAACATCCTCACACACTCATTCACACTAATACACAATGGCCAATTTAGTTTATTCAATTCCCCCATAGCGCATGTGTTTGGACTGTGAGAGAAACTGGAGCACCTGGAGGAACATGCAAACACCAACATGGGGAGAACATGCAAACTCCACACAGAAACGCCAACTGACTCAAGCGGGACTCGAACCGGCGACCTTCTTGCTGTGAGGCGACAGTGCTAACCACTGAGCCACCGTGTCGCCCGAACTATTGAAATCATCTAGTTGAATTATATTCATATAGCAATACACAGTCGAAATGATTCGCCCTCCTCTGATTTGGTTTTCTTTTTCAAATATTCCTCAAATGATGTTTAACAGAGCGAGGAATTTTTTTTTACAGTGTTTCCTCTAATATTTGTTCTTCTGGAGAAAGTCTTATTTGTTTTATTTCGGCTAGAATAAAAGCAGTTCTTAATTAATTTATTATTAAATTAATGAAAAAATTATATTAAGCATTTTAAGGTCAATATTATTAGCCCCCTTAAGCAATATCTGTTTTGGATTGTCTACAGATCAAACCACTGTTATACCAGGGGTTCCCAAACTTTTCAGCCCGCGACCCCCAAAATAACAATGCCAGTGACTCGCGACCCCCAATATCCTCTGAGGTGGTTATGAATACAGAAACCTTGCATGCAATGATGCAGACACACCAATTAAATTTGTGTCAGTGCTTTAAATGTGCCAGAAAGTATAACCTGATGTTATAAAATCAAAATGCATCTGACGCTATTGCTGCCTTTAATATACTGTAATTACCCCAGGGGTCGCAATCCAATAGAACTAGTAACTATAAGCTACTATAGTAACTATATAGTATATAGTCACTATAAACGACTATTTTTATTTTCAGTTTAGTTATGGATAAAATATGTTAAATCTTATGGTTTAATAAAAATAAATAGATTTTTGGAAATCACCAGGCGACCCCCCCTTCATTGCCCCGCGACCCCTCGGGGGGTCCCGACCCCCACTTTGAGAACCACTGTGTTATACAATGACTTGCCTAATTACCCTAACTTTACCCTAACGAACCTTTAAATGTTACTTTAAGCTGAACACTAGTGTCTTGAAGAATATCTAGTCTAATATTGTGCTGTCATCATAGCAAAGAGAAAAGAAATCAGTTATCAGAGATGAGTTATTAAAACTATTATGATCAGAAATGTGCTGAGAAAAAAAAACAGAAATTAGGGAAATAATATAAAAGAATTCATATTAAAAACTTTCAGGGAATTAGGGTGATGAATACCATTAAACAATCCCTCTGTAAAGAGTCCATAGAAATAGCAGCTCCAGATAACACACAGTACAGGAATCTTGACCTCTACTTCACTCAGGACTGATTTAACCACGAGACAGAGAGCTTGGATGAGCAGAGGGCACTTTGCTATGTTTGGTAATGTCATGCTATCATTTACTACAGTAATCACACTGAGCCCCCGCGGAGCCCAGGTCAACATTTAGATTTTCTGACCATACAGTAATAGAGAGAATAGCATTAAAATATAATTTAATTCATTCTGTAGCTGTGCACAATATTTAATTACATAAATTTTGAATCTCAGGGACAACTTCTCAGTTGATTTGCGTTTACATTTTTACCCAAAATATTTTAAATATTTTATTTATGATATTTCTACATTTAGAGAACTGCTGCTTAAAATGAGAATAAAAAGTTCCACGTTTTCAGACATTTATATTCACTTTTAAACAACTTAAATATTTAAACAGCAATATTTTTATAGTAAATTTGGTAGAAATGTTATTGTTGAACCAATGATAAATATTCTATAGCGTAGATTATAATATGGAGGGCGGCACCGTGGCTTAATGGTTAGCACTGTGGCCTCACAGCAAGAAGGTGGATGGTTCGAGTCCCGGCTGGGTCAGTTGTCATTTCTGTGTGGAGTTTGCATGTTCTCCCCATGTTTCCTCCGGGTGCTCCGGTTTCCCCCACAGTTCAAACACATGCGCTATAGGGGAATTGATGAACTAAATTGACTGTAGTGTATCTGTGTGTGCATGCGAGAGTGCATGGGTGTTTCCCAGTGCTGGGTTGCAGGTGGAAGGGCATCCGCAGTGTAAAACACATGCTGGAATAGTTGGCAGTTCATTCTGCTGTGGCGATCCCTGATTAATAAAGGGATTAAGCCGAAAGAAAATGAATGAATGAATATAAAATTAAATAAAATGAACATTTTAATTAAAACTAATAAACAATATTATTTATAAGTACATAAAATGTACACATTTCATTGTTTAGAATAATCTTTTACAACATTTCTATGATGTATTTTTATGTAGACATACTGCTATGAATTTCTATATTTATCATTTGAATTATTTTATTATCACTGTAATACTTGATTATGTAGACATGTACATGTACATTCATAGTTTTCATTCATTCATTCATTCATTTCCCTTCGGCTTAGTCCCATTATTCATCAATGGTTGCCACAGCAGAATGAACCGCTAACTATTCCAGCATGTTTTACACAGCGAATGTCATTCCAACCGTAACCCAACACTGGAAAACACCCACAATCTCATTCACACACACACATTCATACACTACGGCCAATTTAGTTAATCAATTCCCCTATATCGCATGTGTTTGGACTGTGGGGGAAACCTTCACACAAACACGGGGAGGACATGCAAACTCCACACAAAAAGGCCAACTGACCCAGCCAGGACTTGAACAAGCAACCTTCTTGCTGTGAAGCCACAGTACTAACCACTGCGCCACCGTGCCGCCCATTTATAGTTTCAGCATTTTAATTATTTTATACCTCTGAGAGAAAAATCAAGAAATTTACTAAACAGTAAACAAAGGCAACTGTTATGTTCAGAGTTAACAGTTAGTCCTCAGCTTTTCAGGACTGTCGCTATGCACACTGCCCGAGTCAACTCTGTAATAATACTAATTCAATAATTCTCATTTTCCATCACAATAATCTGCTCTGAAACTGCTAAAACTACAGATTGGATTAGAGTTTGAGCTATTTTCTGATAGGAGGAGGAATGATTAAGCAGCGCTGCACCGCAGGGACACCAGCAACCTGTGTGAACCTCAATTCATTTCAGCACAGATGCAGATCTGCTCCATCTGTAATTAATTGCGTTGTGCGCATTATGAGGGACTGCGAGCAGCGTAGGCTGAACACTGTGACATGATAAGAGTTATTGTGTTCGAAAACAAAGAGAGTTTTACACTGAAGGATAGATGAAAGTTTTGGAGGTGTAAGATGTGAGGTTTGTTTGATACTGAAGGCCTCGATCATGAAACAAGAGCAGAAAACATTTGGTGTGTAAAATATTTGCAAAGCTGTTCTGGCGTACAGATTATTGTAATGTAATGTGTATTTATATCGCGCATTTATCTACACCCAAAGTGCTTTACAATCATGAGGGGGTCTCTCCACACCGCCACCAGTGTGCAGCTCCACTTGGATGATGCGATGGCAGCCACAGGACAGCAGCGCCAGTGCTTCACCACACACCAGCTATTGGTGGAGTGGAGAGACAGTGATAGAGCCAGTTTGGAGGATGGGGATGATTGGGAGACCATTAAGGGTAAGAACCAATGGAGGGAAGAAATGACACAGGCACTGATAGTCCACCCTAAAGGACTGATATGCACGCTTTTAACGACTGATGGACCCGTCCTAGATGACTAATAAGCCCGCCTTAAAGGTCTGATAGCTCTACCCTAAATGACTGATAGACCTGCCCTAAATGACTGATAAACCCACCTTAAAGGACTGATAGTACTGCCCTAAATCACTGATAACCCCATCATTAATGACCGATAGCCCTGCCTTAAAGGATTGATATTCCCGCCCTAAATGATTGATAGAATCACCCTAAAGGACTGATAATCCTGCCTTTAAGGACTGACAGTCCTGCACTAAATGACTGATAGACTCACCCTAAAGGACTGATAGTCCCACCCTAAATGACTGATAATCCTGCCTTTAAGGACTGACAGTCCTGCACTAAATGACTGATAGTCCCACACTAAATGACTGATAATCCTGCCTTATAGGACTGATAGTCCTGTCCTAAATTACTGATAGACCCGCCCTAAAGGACTGATAGACCCGCCCTAAATGACTGATAGTCCCGCCTTAAAGGACTTATAATCCTGCCTTAAAGGATTGATAGTCCCGCCCTAAAGGACTGATAGTCCCACCCTAAAGGACTGATAGTCCCACCCTAAAGGACTTATAATCCTGCCTTATAGGACTGATAGTCCCGCCCTAAAGGACTGATAGTCCCGCCCTAAAGGACTTATTATCCTGCCTTATAGGACTGATAGTCCCGCCCTAAAGGACTGATAGTCCCGCCCTAAAGGACTGATAGTCCCGCCCTAAAGGACTTATAATCCTGCCTTATAGGACTGATAGTCCCGCCCTAAAGGACTGATAGTCCCGCCCTAAAGGACTGATAGAACCACCCTAAAGGACTTATAATCCTGCCTTATAGGACTGATAGTCCCGCCTTAAAGGACTGATAGTCCCGCCCTAAAGGACTGATAGAACCACCCTAAAGGACTGAAAGTCCCGCCCTAAAGCACTTATAATCCTGCCTTAAAGGACTGATAGTCCCGCCTTAAAGGACTGATAGCTCCACCCTAAAGGACTTATAATCCTACCTTAAAGGACTGATAGACCCACCCTAAATGATTGATAGTCCCTGCCTAAAGGACTTATAATCCTACCTTAAAGGACTGATAGTCCCGCCCTAAAGGACTGATAGTCCCGCCCTAAAGGACTGATAGTCCCGCCCTAAAGGACTGATAGAACCACCCTAAAGGACTTATAATCCTGCCTTATAGGACTGATAGTCCCGCCCTAAAGGACTGATAGTCCCGCCCTAAAGGACTGATAGAACCACCCTAAAGGACTGAAAGTCCCGCCCTAAAGCACTTATAATCCTGCCTTAAAGGACTGATAGTCCCGCCTTAAAGGATTGATAGCTCCACCCTAAAGGACTTATAATCCTACCTTAAAGGACTGATAGACCCACCCTAAATGATTGATAGTCCCTCCCTAAAGGACTTATAATCCTACCTTAAAGGACTGATAGTCCCGCCTTAAATGATTGATAGTCCCTCCCTAAAGGACTTATAATCCTACCTTAAAGGACTGATAGTCCCGCCCTAAAGGACTGATAGTCCCGCCCAAAATGACTGATAGACCCACCCCAAAGGACTGATAACCCCACCTTAAAGGACTGATTGTCCCACCCTAATTGACTTTTAGACTCACCCAAAAAGACTAATAGCCCCGCCCTAAATGATTGATAACCCACCTTAAAGGACCGATAGTCCCGTCCTAAATGACCACACATTATAGGATTAATAGTTGTACCCTAAATGACTGATAGCCCTGCCTAAATGGCTGACAGCCCAGCCCTGAAAAACTGACTCGTGCCCAAAATGACTGACAACTGCCCTAAATTACTGATAGCCCCGCCCCCCCAAAAGCATTCCATGTGACGAGAAGTGAAGGAAAGTCATTTGGAGGGGGAGGGAGGGTGATGATAGTTGATAAAAGATAATGAGAGCAAATAAATTTTTACAAAATAACGAAGTGCAGAGATTCATCATTTATAACAAGCACCAATAAACATTTAGAAACTTAATCTCGACTTATGAAGCATTTGTGGATCTGGAGAAAAGTTCTGTTTTACACACACAACTCCCAGTGTCCACGTGCAGTATATTGTGTTGAACGAGGCTCAGAGGGCTCTGCTGTAAAACGTGTGTGTTGTTTTTGCCGTGGTGAGTGGGCTGGCGGAGCTGGATGTTTACTGTGACGGACAGAGCGTGTGCTCTCCTACTGAGCAAAATAAACAGTGTGCATGGCGTAAACAGCAGCGCAGCGAGAGCAGACTGACGGACTCAATAAGGAGGAAAGTCAAGACGCTGACAGAGAAATTACACTGCAGTCTGAGACATCACACACACAGTTAGTTTCGCTTCAATTTCAGCTGTGCACGATGGACAAATACACTGTAACGACAATGTAAAGGTTTCTTGAATGAAACTTGTGTGTATTTATATGCGCCTTGATTTAGGAATGCTTTGGTATTTGTACTGGAAAAGACATCAGTAGGTGTATGAACACAGTATTAGGAGGAACACTGAGTCTACCGTGTATTAAAAAGTCATTTATTGCAATAAAAACAGATTGTGTCTCATATTTCAGGCAAATAAATGCACAACTGTACTTTTCTTTTCTTAAAAACGCAAGTTAACATCCTGAAAATCAGAGTTAGAAGCTCAAAATAAAAAGTTTTGAGTGTCTTACCGATGCGGTCGAGCCGGTCGAGGGCAACAGTCTCAAACGCTCTCCTCATCATGGGATACTCCTCCAGCACCTCGTTGAAGTTGTCCACTGACAGAGAGTACAGACGGCAGTATGTGTCGGCCCTGACACTGGCTGTGCGTCTACCCCGCGTCAGCAGACAGATCTCTGAACAAGAGGAGACATCAGTGCACACATCAGTGTTCATGAACATCAGGCTAATGCACATTCTGAAGCAGGATCCGGCCAAATGCCCTTCTCAGAGCCACTAGTTAGCACAATTTTGCGATAACTGAATCCAACGCAAAATCAACAAAAAGTCCTTCAAAATTCATAATTTAAATGCAAAATGATCACAAACAATTTAAATAATCTCATGAAACATTCAATTACAAAGCGTTTAATCAAAGTATATTCATTTCACTTTGCAACCCGTTGCATACGCAGCACACATGGACAGCGTTGTGGCAGCAGTGGAGTCATTCAGGTTCCTGGGCACCACCATCTCTCAGGATCTGAAATGGGACTCTCACATTGACTCCTTTTTTAAAAAAGCTCGACAGAGGCTGTACTTTTTACGTCAGCTGAGGAAATTCAACCTCCCAAAGGAGCTGCTGAAACAGTTCTCCAGCTCCATCATTGAATCAGTCATCTGCACATCAATAACTTTCTGGTTTAGCTCAGCTACCAAATCCGACCTCCAAAGACTATGTCGAATAGTTCGGACTGCTGAGCGAATCACTGCTACAACCCTCCCTACTCGCCAAGAACTGCACTTATCCAGAGCGAGCAGAAGGGCTGCCAGAATCACTCTGGACCCCTCTCACCCAGCACACTGCCTCGTTGAACTTTTACCTTCTGGTCGAGGCTACAGAGCACTGCGCACCAGAACAGCCCAACACTGAAGCAGTTTCCTCCCTTAGGCAATCCATCTCATGAACACTTGATAATAATAACTGTGGAACCAACATCACTACTTGCTGTACACTTTTATAAACATATACACTTATTTAACAACACACTTTACATGCCAATATGCACATAACAGCTGCACATATAACATGTCTATAGTAATACAGCTCTACATACACTTGTCTATCTGTATATTTGCATTCACTACATGCTGCTTTTTTATATATTTATTATCTGTTTATTGTCCTGTCTCTGTAATTCTGTTACACTGTAGAACAGGGGTGTCAAACTCAATTCCTGGAGGTCTGAAGCCCTGCACAGTTTAGTTCCAACCCTGCTCCAACACTCTTACCTGTAGGTTTCAAACAAGCCTGAAGGACTCAATTAGTTTGACACCTGTGCTGTAGAAGCTCAGTCACCAAAACAAATTCCTCGTAGGTGCGAACATACCTGGCAATAAAGCTCTGTCTGATTGTGATTCTGATGTGTTTAAGTGTCTCTTAAAAAATTACGTCTCACCTGCGCCCTCACAATCATTACATTACATGGAAAGGGGAGGGCGGGAGGGTTGTTTTGCAGCCTGTGCAGTAAGCAGACGCAGTGTTGTGAAGGATATTGTGCAAGAGAGGTAAAGGAAAGGCAAAGGAAGGCTGTATAATTCTTATTTTTATCCACAATCGTATTTTCTCTCAGATTTCTAACAGGTAATGGAATATATGCAAGAGCAGGTGGAAATGGGACTGAACCTTGCGGAAGCAGTACGTGCAGGTCTCTACTTTAAAGTATTAGCACTTCCCAGCTTCATAGTGTACAGATACATTTTCTTTTAGGTTCTAAACACAAATGATTAGGCTTAAGTGCATTTTCAATGCCTTTAGTACATATCGCCCCCCTTCAAAATACTAATACTGTATTAAATTAGAGTAAAATTCTAAAAGATCAAGTTATTATCAGTAAATTGTTGCACTGGATTTGCTGTAATGATAGGACAATACTATGACAGTAGAAACAAACTAAACTAAATCTGAACAACACCATAAAGAAAACCCATCAAATCCTGCCAAAAATGATGCTGTGCTTCCAGCAACCCCACAAACCCTGTGAGATTACAAAAACACGCACTTCACATCACATGCTCTGTCTAAACACATCCAGAGGTGGCTTTCTATCACAGAAAAAAAACTAAAAACAAGCTCCAAACCAGCTCTCCTTCCCCCTTTTTTTGGATTAAAACTGTCCTGTAATCCACATCTGCAGCACTAAATGCCACTCAGAGCTTAGAGGACTGGCAGAACTCATATGTCACGGCAGATCAGAAGAATTACGGCCCGTTTATCAGGCTCCAGAGCTGGAAACACTGCCCTCTGCTGCCCTCCAGAGAAGAGCAGAGCGCTGGCCGTTCAACCGATACCCACAATCCCCTCTGCCTCCTAAGTGCCAAACGTCAATATTAGGGACGGCAGAAGAAATCAATTTACAGACGCCGCCTCGCCTTTCTTTTCATGCAAGATTGTGGAGTGACTCACAGAAAGACAGAATTAGACTTTTAATGTTGGCGCTAATAACTCTGTTTATTAAAGCATTTCATAGATGAGAGGCTGCTTTTTTAGTTGAAAGTAAATTATGTGTGTGCAATGCATATTTAATGCAAGTAAAGTGTTAAAATTTTAAATAATTTCTGTGCAAATATATTCTGTATAAATATGGGTGAAAGGGTCAGACTTTATAGTAAGACTGCATTAGTTAATGTACATATTAATATGATAATTTACTATGAAAATAAATTATTTTAAAAATACAGCATATTTTAATCATAGTTCAACATTTTCTAATGCCTTATAAAATGATTATGCCTAAAATTATTATTATTATGTGTTGCATTATTCATTAATGTTATTATTTATATTAATTATCACTATTATTAATATTATTTATAACTGATTATTATTATTATGCCTTATTATTATTATGACTTATTATTATTATTATTATTATTATTATGACTTATTATTATGGCTTATTTAATATGACTTATAATAATAATAATTATTATTAGTATGACTTATTATAATTATTATTATTACGTATTATTACTATTATTATTATTATTATTATGACTTATTATTATTATTATTATTAATTATTATTATGACTTATTATGAATTATTATTATGACTTATTATTATTATTATGACTTATTATTATTAATTATTATTATTATTAATTATTATTATTATGACTTACTATTATTATGACTTATTATTATTATGACTTATTATTATTATGACTTATTATTATGGCTTATTTAATATGACTTATAATAATAATAATTATTATTATTACTTATTATTATTATTATGACATATTATTATTATTATTATTATTATTATTATTATTATTATGACTTATTATTATTATTATTATTATAATTAATTATTATTATTATGACTTACTATTATTATAACTTATTATGACTTATTATTATGACTTATTATTATTATGACTTATTATTATTATTATGACTTATTATTATTATCATTATTATTATGACTTATTATTATTATTAATAATAATAATTATTATTATGCCTTACTATTATTATGACTTATTATTATTATTATTATGACTTATTATTTTATTATTATTATTATCATTATTATTATGCATGATTAAAATCCAAAGTTGGACTTGTTAACAATAGTCAATGCACTGAGAGTTAACACAATCAAACAAAGAATTACTTTATTATTTTTTTACTAAAACTACTTACATTAACAAATATTAATAAATACTGTAATAAATGTACTGTCCTAATAATTCTGTTTATTAACAAACCATTAGGTTCATAGATGTGAGGTCTGCTTTTTAATTGATTTACAAAGTGAATGAATATGTGTGCAATGCATATTAAATGCAAGAAAAGTCTTTATATTCAGTTATAAAGAATATAAAGAATATTACAAATATATTCTGTAACCATATGCATTGCATTATTCATTATTGTTATTATTTATATGAATTATTATTACTATTATTTATAACTAATCTTATATAATTAGCTCTATTGGGAAATATTTCCTTTATTTAGATGGGCTGGGATGATCAGGATTTTTCCTATGCAGTGGCTCTGCATAAATTACAAGCAAAAATAAATAAACAAACACTGGTTTGTAGATTTCTGGGGAGTCTAACAGTATTCAAGTATACCGAAATTAAACAATCAAATGTAAAATAAATGTAAAAATGTAAACATAATGTTAATAATATATTTAAATCTTTAAAAAATAATCGAATCCTGCAATGTGAATTGGCGATACACACATTGTGATATCAACACTCAAATGATATATTGTTCAGCCCTACCTCTTACTGTCAAATATAAAGATATACAGTTGAAGTCAGAATCATTAGCCCTCCTGAATTATTATTATTTTTTCCCCAATTTCTGTTTAACGGAGAGCAGATTTCTTCAACATTTCTGATCATAATAGTTTTAATAACTCATCTCTAATAACTGATTTATTTTCTCTTTGTCATGATGACAGTAAATAATATTAGACTAGATATTCTTCTATACAGCTTAAAGTGACATTTAAAGGCTTAACTAGGTTAATTAGGGTTAACTAGGCAGGTTAGGGTAATTAGGCAAGTTATTGTATAATGATGGTTTGTTCTGAAGACTATCGAAAATATATAGCTTAAAGGGGCGAATAATATTGCCCTTAAAATGGTGTTTAAAAATTAAAAACTGCTTTTATTCTAGCCTTAAAAAAGCAAATAAGACTTTCTCCAGAAGAAAAAATATTATCAGACATACTGTGAACATTTCCTGAATCTGTTCAACATCATTTGGGAAATGTAAAAAAAATAAATAAATTCAAAGGGGGCGAATAATTCTGACTTCAGCTGTATATAGATAAATATAAAGATTTCACAAGACGATTAATTTGTATTTTAGGGCCAAACCATGATCCTTTACGTCTTTTAATATGACATCAAATGATTTATGATATGATTTACAAGAGCTTTTTGACAGAAAATATCAGTAAACTCAATCCCTAGTGTCTGTTTCAAGCGTCGTTTTCTTTTCTTTTTTCATTTCTTAGACTTTCATTTTGACTTGCTCAGAAAAATTCGATTCAATCCAATTTATGTATAAACCACTTTAAAACAACACAGTTGACCAAAGTGCTGACAACAAAGAGTAAAACAAACTTTAAAATACAAATAAGTAAACATTAAATGTCAACATCTCA